GGGGGGGGGGTTTATTCGAGCCTTACGTAATTTTTAGAGGGGGGGGGTTAAGGGATGCCTTACGGTGCTGCACAAGGAGAAGTATGGGGGGCCTAAAAATGGGGAAAAGGTCTTACGTAATTTATTCTAAAGGATGTTAACTGAACACTATGTTACATTAATTTCTGTCTGGAGTCTGCTTTCTCCTCCAAGAAAAAACAAGTTTATTGTACGGCCCCTGTATACCCTTATACAGGGACCCTGGACCTGGACCTTGGATCCAGAATTTTCTCTGAAGCAAGAGGAGCCCTTTTTAATTACGTTTCGATCAAAATGCAACCCTCACTTTTATTTTTTGGAAAAAATAACCCTTCGATGCCCTACGCGGCACCTAAAAATAAAATCTGGGCAGTAAAAATAATCTATTCAGCGGGCGCGAACCCGCGATGGCCCGTTCACGGGTCAGATATCTATCCGCTACGGTACATCGGTTAGATGGGAAGGTGGGCGTGGGCGTATTTGCCAGTACATAAGGCAGATGAAGTTCTTTCTTTCTCCACTAGAGCTGAGAGTAGAGACGCATCGGTGACACGCTCTTGCTTACTGATGATCTGCGGCAGGATTTTTGTCAACCCAATCCTTCCGAGCCAAGAAGGAATCTCTGCTAAACTCGAACGCCGTTTTCGGGCAAGGCGGATAAAGAATGGTGGTCGCATTTCGTACCCTCTGGACGTCACACGGTATCGGGTACATCGGGTACATGGGCTGGCCGAGGCCGGGGGCAACGAACTACACCTCTAGAATGGCCGACCAGTGTTAGAGACCCGGACAAAGACATAAAGACGGAGGGCTAAAAGCAAAAAATGAAGCTTCTTTTCAACCACCTCTACTATTGGCTAGAGGATTGGCGGCGAAATCGGGACAAGTTTGAATTCAAATATAGGGCGGGAACTGAATAAAATAATTGCGGAAACAAAGTATTTTAGGTTGATTTTTGCCCAAATTCAGGTACAAACTCATATTTTTTTAACTCTAGGTTAGTTTCCGTCGGTCGTCGACAGATTAATTTCATTTGGGAGTAACGTTGATCTAGAACTGTAACGGCCTGTTTGAACCTGCAGAACCACCATAAGCAGAAGAAAAACTAACTTTATCTGAGATTACTGCCTGTTACCGAGCAAAAGTAGGTGTATTATGTTAGGACGCAGACCAAACTTTCTTAGTATATTCGTTTTAGGAATTTAAAATACGTTTCGAAGAAGAAATATGCAAAAATCAAGAGGACAAGTTCAAATCAAATTTCCGTTTGCCGCCATGGATTCCCGCGCTCATTTACACACTCACACAAGCGCGCAGCGCCGAACCTAGCTTCACTTTTTCCCCGTGCTTTTAGACACGAGCGCTCCGTCTTTATGTCTTTGGACCCGGAACGTTTTGAAGTTGATATAGGTTAGGTTTACTTGGGCTCACACAGCAGGCTGCCATCTAAACCCATGTCAGACGCTGCCCACATTTTGCCGAATATTGTTGAATAAAGTGATAGCAATGAAAAGATTGCATAATAATCGCACCTCCAAAGGTTTTCTTAACTCAAAAAATAGGAACTTTGAAAGCAAACCTCAAAAAAAATGAAAGTTTACATAGGTTGAAATTTTTACATGTAATCCTTATGGGCAAGACCAAGATCCATCCATATAGGTCAGTCATTGCGCAGATTTCCCCGCTCGGGGTAAGCCCCTTTCCATTGGCTCGTGACGTCAGCATTACTGCCGCGAAAACCAGAAAAGTCGGAAACAATGCTTTTCTTATGGGAGAGAGCAAATTTTTCTTAATGAATCATTTAAATTTCTTACTTTTAAATCCTTTGAAACTTTCTGTGTGTCGAAAAGAACGTTTAGACATTAGCATTCAGGGTTTCGATTTTGCCGAATTTGTGTTCTTTCATTTTTACAGTTTACTCTGCATCAGCATTTTTACGCGCGAATCTATACCACTAGATGGCTTGTTACATCGCTGACTTCAAAAATCATTTAAAAATATAAAAACGCAAATTCAGCTGAATTGAAACCCTTGACGCTAATTTCTAAACGTTCCTTTCGACACTCAGAAAGCTTCAAAGAATTTAAAAGTAAGAAATTTAAATGATTCATTAAGAAAAATTTGTTCTCTCCCATAAGAAAAGCATTGTTTCCGACATTTCTGGTTTTCGCGGCAGTAATGCTGACGTCATGCGCAGAAGATTCTCATTTGGGTTTCGGGAATGACTGACCTATATGGATGGATCTTGGGCAAGACGCAGCAGAAATGGAGATTGAGGTTAGCTATACTTGGGCTCCCACCCCCCTCCTGCCTTCAAAAACCGGCCCTTGCGCGTTCCGCAGGTTTGCTATCTCGCGGCCATTCTAGAGGTGTAGTTCGTTGGCCGGGGGGGCCGACTCAACCTCGGATTGCACGGCATAACCCGTACCCCCCTGACGTCACAACGCTTCAAGATGGCAGCCAAAATCGAAATGCGACCACCATTCTTTATCAAAGGTGCGTTGTTAAATTACTTTTGCTGCCCAACAAAAATGGCCGAATCTTAGCAGGATTGACGTCATCTCAACGACGACGTCAGCTCAACAGACGGGAGAAAATTGAGGTGTCGTTGTTAAATTCCCGTTGGATTCTGCGGATTTGGAGGTTAAGTTTTGTTGAAATTTAAGATTTTTAACATTTAAAAATCTTATTACACCCACATTATTACGAAATTGACACAATAAACGATTATAAGCAATTGCAAGTCAGTCTGGTGACGAACATGTGGCCAAGAAGTGCGAAAAAATGGCGGTTATGGATGTAAACAATAACATTACAACAATCCAGCAAACTCGGCAGCGGTCCACAGCAGCCGAAAACCTCGCTGAGCTGTTGNTGAGCCTCGCGCCGCGGCATCGCATCGGGTACACTTCGGGTACATTTCAAATCGCGCGGTAAAAGCCCGTACCCTCTGCACGTCACACATCTTCAAGATGGCAGCCAAAATCGAAGTGCGACCACCATTCTTTATCCGCCTTGCAAACCCATGGCCAGGAATGCTAAGTAGGAATTGGTCTGCGTCATTAAGTATTCGACCGAGTTCGTTATCAGTGCAGTTCATTATGGCTTTCTTCAGCCCATCGGTCTTACTCCATGTTTTGAAGCCGGCACTCCTTACTCAAAGCGCAAGAGGACACAAAATGAAAGCTATGAAGTCCTGGAGTGGTGGAGTCAATTATCCTGGCTTTAAATATTACCCCAGGTAAAATCTGCTGCTGCTCTTTTAACTCTGCTTGTAGGAAGACTTCCAAGTTTTGCTCAAGTCTACTTAAGGTGATTCGTCAAGCTCAAGTGACGTGGTCGAACTGGCATGCGATATATCGCATCTTTTAGGTCAAAAATCTCGGCAGATTTTGAATTTTCAGCAAAAAAAAGGACGATAGCCCCTGCGCATGAGCCTGAAGAATCATTCTAAACCCAAAAATCGGCAAAATTCAGAGAAATGAAAACAGGATAGTGTTTGGAAAAAAACCTGGCATTCGATACCGAAATCGATAGCTGAATCGAATGCGAGGTTTTTTTCCAAACACTAACCTGCTTTCATTTCTCTGAATTTTGCCGATTTTAAGGTATAGAATGATTCTTTAGGCTCATGCGCAGGGGCTATCGTCCTTTTCTTTACTGAAAATTCAAAATCTGCCGAGATTTTTGACCTAAAAGATGCGATATATCGCATGCCAGTTCGACCACTTCTTTTGAGCTTGACGAATCACCTTAAGGTGATGATTCCTTAACTCAAGTGACGCGGTCAAAGTGGCTTGAAATATATTGCATTGATTAGGTTACAAAGCTCGGCAGTTTTGAATTTTTAGCCATGAAAAGAACAATTGCCCTTGCGCATGAGCCTTAAGAATCATTCGAAACCAAATAATTAGCATAATGTAGGGAAATGAAAGCAGAATCCTGTCAGGAGTAAAACCTTGCATTCAATACAGTTATCGACTTCTGTATTGAACTAGAGGTCTTTTACTAAATAGGCTTCTGCTTTCATTTCCCTACATGATACAAATTTCTGAGCTTAGAATGATCTTTTAGGCTCACGGGTGATTTCACGATAACAGGAATAGCTAAAATTTGTAACACATCACAAATAAGAGTGCACCAATTTTAAACAGATTTCATTCTTCATGTTAGAGGTATTTAACTTCCTTTTTCCATCTTTAGTACAACTTATTTTGATGCAGTACTAAGTTATAGCGGTTGAGAAACGGTCATAGCGGCTGAATCAGGTGTCAGCTCTTCCCACCGGACTGGTGGAGGTCCATGCAAACATGGCGGCACTGTTTAATTATGTCGGTTACGCAACCGACACTTGAAAATGTGAAATGAAAATAATCTAAAGATGGATTGTGGCAATTCTTGAGATATGAGTTGGAATTAACGCTGCCCAAACTTTAGGGACTTCCTTTTAGTTTAATAACGTTGAATTGAGGATTCAGCGTAAGTACTGTGTAGTTAGTGCTATGGACCTGAAAATCATTGGTTTCCATAAAAATAAAGTTTTCATTGTAGAAAAAGCCGACTTATTAGTATTGAATTGGTCGAGGAGACTTCAGCAAACAATTTGATGACAGTTTTGAAACTCCTGGTTTCATCTGGCGAGATAAACACTGCACTTAATACAACTGCTAAAATACGTTGCTCAATGTAGCGACATTCTTTCTAATGACTTTTCTTGCTTCAAAATAAACCTTTCAGTTAAACATGGCAATTTTCTTGAACATTTGAGTCTCTTTTCATTTAATATTGCCAAAGATTCTGTGATTAGTACTGCTTTATTACTGCGAATTGTTCTTCTACCATAGAGGCAGTTATTAAAACTGAGTTGGCGACACGTAAGCAACCGACCGGACATTTTCGGCCTTTAAAGTCTCATATTATTAAATTCATTTGAGATTCATCATATTTTATAGCATGGATAAGTTTAGGGCATCATTCAAATTGGTTTATCAACTTGGATTTAATTGTTTTGCCCTAAGTCGGTTATAACCCACGGTGACACGACTATTCCTCTTTTCGTGAAATCACCCTCATGCGCAGGAGCTATCATCCTTTTTTTTTGGTAAAAAATTCAAAATCTGCGGATCTCTTTGACCTATTTGATGCGATATATTGCATGTTAATTTAACTACGTCACTTGAGCTTGATGAATCATTTCATGGTGACTCATCCAGGTTTTTGGCGAGGGACTTGTGGTACTTATGTCTACGGATTTTGAATTTTAGCCAAGAAAAGGACACAAGCCCCTGTGCACAAGCCTAAAAAATCATTTGCAACCAAAAAATTGGCTAAATTCAGTGAAATGAAAGGAGGATTTTTTTTATGGGTTAAACCTCTCATTCAATAGATTAAGTTATCAACTTTTATTCTGTAAGAGAGGTTATTCCCCCAGGAATTCTGCTTACATTTCTCTAATTTTTGCCATTGTTTTGGTTGTGGATATTTCTTCATTCTCATGAGGAGGAGTTATCGTCTTGGTTTTTCTTGAAAATTTTCAATGATCCTGCACAATTCTCGAGCAGTAGTGAATCACAATCCACTTCCAATTTTTCTTTCCCCATTAACCTCATCCATGGATGCTGTTCAGAAGTCATCATGACGGCAACTTTTTGTGATGCACTGTTTCTGCACCATCTGAGGTTGAAGTTTTAATATTTCCTCGAATAGATGAAGGCAGCGCCAAAATTTACCAAGGAAGAATGCAGCTGGTGAGAGATAAGGTTTCGAGGGGGAGAAAGAAAGAATCTGATTTGGACGGTAAACTGAAAAGTTGCGCGGAATCCAAGATAAGATTGCTGATCACCGTATACCCAAAACGCTGATGTTTTCATTGCTTTCAGCAAAGATAGAAGGAACTTTCTGACTCTTAATTGCTGCACTGCCTTCTCTTGTTCAAGTAATGATCAAAACCCTAACTGCGGATCGTGCGAAAACGGTGCCTCGTAGAAAGTTGGAGTAATGATGGATTTTGATTAGCATCTACAGACGAGTTTAATGCAATAAAAGATTGGAAATCGATGGCACATGATACATTGATGGTATCTGGGTACACATCCTTGTAAGGAGTGTGCAGAGTTCTTTGCCCAGATTTTTGCTCAAGTAATGTATGAGATGTATCACATGCCTGTTCGACCATACCAGAAACAAAGACGAACCACCACCTTCTAATGTGCACTGGTACCGAAACCATCAAGGACTCTCTCGTTAAGAGGGCGTATATGTTAGCGGACAAACCCGATTTTAGGACAAACTAGAATTTCCTAGGACAAACTCGTTTGCCGGAAGAAATCTCGTTCGGTCTAGGCACCTAGGATAAAGTAGTTTGGCCTAGGCCGGAACTAGTTTGTCCTGAGCAATTTAGTATAAACTGGTTTGTCCTACGCCAGAGTAGTTTGTCCTAGGTGCTTTAGGAAAAACCTCGAGTTATAATTTTATTTTTTTCAATATGGTTAGACGGGGTAAAGTAAGGAAATGATAGGAAGATTATTTTAAATTCTTCAATGTAAAGAGGTGTGTGGAAAAACGGCCAAAAATGCCTCAAGGCATTTTCAAATTTTGATCACTGGGGGTGATACAGTAGCTTCCGAGACGCCCAAAACCGGTCGCCGTTTTGCTTAGAAGCGCCGGGTTGCGACGTTGCCATTTTTTAAAGTGGAAACCTTTAAAAATTCATGTCTCCGCCGCATCTCAACCGATTTCAGTGAACTTTTTTTTAAAATGTTCCTCTTAAATAGAGCTTTCTAGTGATGTATAGTTTTCTGGGGTTTACTTGGCTTTAAGTGGCACTTACGCGGTTTTAGCAGTTTTTGATAGACACAAAAATTTAGTTTTTATTTTACCACGATCGTGGAATCGACGGAATCTAAACAAAAACCAGTCTAAATGAAAGTTCAGANGTCAGCTGATAATCGAGTTGTCTTAACTCTGGGTATAAAGGGACTCTAGCCCAACGTTCTGCCCTGCCGGTGTCACAAACGGGAATAAAGATTACAGAAATTGAACGTTTTTTGTTGGTTTTTTGTAATCTTTGATCGGCCCATTCTCAAATTCCTCTCTCCATTCCTTCTGTCATTCCGTTTGTTCCTTGTCGAACCCGAAATTCCTCGGTCCATTCCATATTATAATCTTTGCAATCCGTGAAACTGTAATCTCTATTCCCGTTTGTGACACTGTGAACTGTGAAGGCCTAAAATACGGGAACCAATCAGAAATGGATTCACATTGTCTTGACTCTCAGTATAAAGGGACTCTAGCTTACGCGAGTGTCCCTTCTATTCTATGCTCTAGTCTCTGTGTTCTCGTTCCTTAGGCGTGACTCTCAGGTTCATTAGATATTTTTACGATTTTAAAGTGATTATGACTCCTGTCGATCTAAAATCTCCAGCCGGAGTTAAGGAATTGGACACCTTCTTAGCCGATCGTAGCTATATCGAAGGGTAAGCATTGGCTTTCAGTTCTCAAGGCCCAGTTTGCTAGATCCACGTGGAACGAAGTTTCACGGGTCCACAGCCCTGTGTGTTATATATTCGTCCCTCTACTATGTTTTGATGTTTCAGTTCGTCCCTCCTACAAAATTTGTGCTTCTCTGATTAATTAAATCGGTATTCGCGCCCCCTTAACGTCAGTCGCCGAAGTTAGCAATTAACGTCATAGGCTTGAGATCATAGCTAACCTAAAAGTAGAGACACTGCAAGCAAAGGAATACCCAAACCTCATCATATCAATGGTTGAAGTGAGAAAGCATGTATCTTAATGGCTTCATTATACAGTTTCCGATCATATTTTACTTTTTGAGTAGAAACAAACCAACTTCATAGCATGAATTCCTTAAAGTGATTTGTCCAGGTTTTGGATGTGGTTGAACTGGCGTGCAACCTAATGCATTAGTTATGTCAAAAATTTTGGCAGATTTTAACAGTTCCAGCCAAAAATAGGTCAATAGCCGTATATCGCCTGCCAGTGCAACCACGTCAGAAACCTTGACGTATCACCTAAATGCATGCTGTTGCCTGCGAGAATGGAGGGGCCGTAACTACTCGGTTTCATGATGTCAAACTAGCAGAGTAATCGCTGTGTTATCCAATCAGAGCTGCCGTCGATCGGCTGAAGTTGCATGAGCGGCGCGTTTGAATCTTAGTAGGGCAACGATTTTCAGTATTTAGTCGTGTTCAGCTTTTATTTCCTCAATTATCAGACAGTGTA